AATACTTTCCCCTTTCTTAGGGAAAACTATTTCACCTTCCTATTCTTTAATAGGGAATTAAAATATCTTAAATTAATTATTCCCTCGGAATAATTAACTAGATAAAACAAATTAAATAAATAAACACAAACACAACTAAAATTCTTTATCTTCAAACAAAATAAATATTCACACAGAATATTAAAAAAAAATGAATATCTCAAAAGACATTGAAAAGTGAAATTTCTGCCTACTTTTTATAGGCAAAAATTTCTATATAAAAATGATGCAATGTTAAGTACATTGCAAAAAAGTACATAAAAAATTGTCAAAAATGGAAAGTGACTCACTGAGTCACCTCCAAAAATAATAAACAAAATAAAAAATATCAAAAATATTTCAAATCTTTAATTCTTCAATTTCGTCATCGACAGAAGGCTTAATAATTATAATAAATTTTTCTGAAAATAATTCCAAAATAATAAAATATAAGGAATATAGCCGTCCTGATTGCCGTTTCCTAAAATCGAGAATTTATTTTTTATGTTGTCAGGATCCCTTACAGGGTGACCAAAAAGTCATGGGGCTTAACATATTTTTAATTTAGAATATTTAATTAAATATATATATAAAATAATATTTTCTATTAAAAAAAGAAGTATTTGAACAAATGACGGATAACACAAAATATAAAATAAAAAAGAAGGTAAATAAATTTGTGGATATATTAGAAAGAAGAAGCTTTAACTAAAAACAAAAAAGAGAGATAGAGGAGAGGATATTAGAATTACTGGGCCAGTTTGTCTACATATTGATAAAGAGTTGGGGGGAATTTATATGAAAGAAAGAGAGATAAAATATTTTTTTGTGTTTATTTAGGTGGATATAAATATATATCTAGATTTTTTCCTTTTTTTCTAGGCTAATCATCTAAAAAGATTTTAAAAGAATAACAGAGTAACAGAGCTTTGCTATTTGTCTCCAACTTTTTTTCTTTAACACAAAACAAAGAAGAAATATATTTTTACCCAAGGGAGATATAAAAATTTGGGTATTGAATTGTGAAATGTTGAGAGTTTGGGAAAATGTATTTCCTCAAGTCCCCGAGGGTTATTTTTTCGATAGACCCCCTAGAGGGGGGCTATTTTAGAGGGCATAGGGTATATTTAATTATTTAAGTAATTTTAATTTTGAAACTCAAAATTGATTTTTCGATTTTAAAAAATAAAAGCTTTAAAATATTTAAAGGTATAATTACTTATGATTTTTGTCAGCCCGCACTAAAACTCTAACAAATAAAAAAAGCATTTGTTTGTTCTTAAAAACAATCAAAGAGGCAAATAAGAAAACGTGTTGTCCTCGCCTGTCAGAGGCTTTGATTGCAGCTGATCAATCGAAAAAAAAGAAAAGGAGATTTAAGTAAATCTTTAAAAAAGAGAAAAATATTTTTGAACGAAATTTAATGATATTATATCTCAGGCTTCCATTTAAATTTAAAAAATTTGAATTTATTTAGAGGTTAGTGGGAAATTAGGAATTGTTTTTTCTTAATTTTATATTTCTTATTTTGATAGGAGATGGAATATTCAAAACTAGGGTGGGATTTTTCGAACCGGGCCGACGTTCGGGTCATTTTTTCGGCCTCATTTATATTGAACGACCCGTTCGGGTCTTTTTCGGGCCAAAATTCAGGCCCGGTACGATCTTTCGAACCGAACCGAGCCCCCAATCCTATTTTAGAACAAATATGGAAATAAAAACAAAATTATCTTCAATTATGGATAAAAATTCCTACATATTATTGGCAGTATTTTTTCAAATTCCCATGCATTTTTTCTTACTATAATTGATAAAAAAATCAAAAATATTGTAAATTTTTTTCATTATTTTTCAATTAAATTAAAAATTCCAATTAAAAAACATTTATTTTATTAATATTAAAGAATTATAGTAAAGAGTAAAAATTGCATTATACTAAAAAATATTTGGTATATAATATTAAATTGAGATCAAATGTCAACAATATATAAGTATAATTATTATTATTTATTTTGGATATTTGAGAAAAAATATAAGAAAAAAAGGAAGAAAGATATGTGTGTATTTGTTGATTATTTTTAAATAATTAAAAGAATGATTAGAAACAAATATATAAATTTGGTTAAATGGTAAAAGTAAATAAAGTTAACTCGGTTATAAAAACATTGGGAACAATGGTATCAAGAAAAAAAGGTTCCAAACTGATCCCTCTAAAACATAACGAGAGTTAACTGTAGTAAAATAGTTATATAAGAGTGAGAGCGAGAAAAAGAAAATTAAAAATAAGAAAAGCTCTTAGAGCTAATATTGAATTATAAGTAGTGGAATTTCTCTATAAAGATGCCCCTTCCCAAGTCACTTTCTTTCTTAGGTCCCAGTGCCTATGGGTCAAAGGCGGGTGTCGGAAATCAGCCTTCCACCCACCCTACATCATTATAAAGAGATTCCACTATACTCAAAATATTTTAAAAATAAAGAGCTAGTAATTTAATTAATTATTTTCCTTCAAATTAAAAATCCAGAAAAGGATCCAAAATTTAATTTAATATGCTGAAGTACTGAAATACATTGGCATTCACCCAAAGGTGATTCCATATCTGTTGGATCAACAGGCCGCCAATTATATATTACTGCTGGAGCTTCTTTGCCAGAAGACAAACTTTTCTCAATTTTTGGAAACTGAAAAATTAAAAAAAATTATTTTTTTGAATATTAGAATTTTAATTATTTCTTACCTTATGAATTGGCCGCTTTGCCCGCCTTTTAATATTCCTCGCAAATAAAGTTAATTCACTTAATTTAAAATTATCAAATTCTTCTCTCTCCTCTTCCTTATTTTCTTCCTCCTCTTCAACTTTTTCAATTGTTATTTTTCGTTTTTTAATTGTTGAGAATTCAGCACAAACTTTAGCACAATTTTCTCGTTCAACATCTATTTTAGTTGCAACAATAGGGCCTCCAAGTTCATGATCCCAAAATCGATCTCGTTCAGAATCGCCTTTAAAAAATAATTTTAAAAATTTGATAACTAGTTATTCTATGATCATTAGAGTATTTTTAAATAATTTTTGAATTCCCTTCTTTTAAAGTCAATTTCCTCCAACTAGGTTAAAGGAAAATTTTAAAAAATTAATTTAATAATAAATCGCGATTGTAATTACAACTCACAACTAACAAGTATTGAGTATACAGAAGATTTACCCTTTAAACTCTCTTCCTCTCCTATGTAACTTCAATATTCTAATCATCCTTCTTTATATCATTCCAATCTACCTTTACCTTTTAACGCCTTTAATGTTCCTAAGTTAACACCTTTAACCCATAGGTAGCGTAAGAAGCTCTTAAATTGATTAGTATATCCTTAAACCAAGTTAACATTTATATCTAATAAATTCCAAATTTATTTTCGATCTAAATACAATATCATTTTCATTTTTACGTAATTTCCTTTTTTTATTCCAAACAAACAATATTTTACGTAGAAACATTTCTTACGCATTTTTCCTTTGTTTTTGGAATATTTCGTGGCATTTTATTTAAAAATAATAAAAAAAGAAATTTTAGTTCCTTTATTTCTAAATTTATTTTTTAAACATTAATCAGGTAGAAAATATTTTTTTGTTCCTTTTAAATATTTACGTAGAGACGCCCACCTTTATATAGTTCCCCTTTTATTAGAAATGTTTGGAAAATTTTTTTTTGTTTTCTAGAAAAGCGGAAGTTGTGTCGTAGGTTATAAAGTTATAGAAGAAGGAAAAATTTTTTAGAAGAAAAAATTTTTTAGGAGAAAATCCCTCTCGGTAAAGACACACATTTATTAATTACTTTACTTATACAGACATTTACACTTTGGAATAATTTTTGAAAAAAATATTTTTCGCCTCATTTTGTTTCTATTCATTTTAAAAATCTTAATTAGTAGACTTAAAATATGTTTATAATGGAAAAGGTAAAATATATGTACGTAGAAAGATCTAAAAATAAATATTTTTTTAAAAGGTTAGCAAGTACAGATTTACTTAAAAATTAAATATTTTTGTAAATAAATAAAAGGAAATTTGAAAAATATGTGTTAAATTTGGGTGATTGGAATATTTTAAAAGAGTAAGAAATTTTCATGTTCCAATATTGTATGTGGGAATCGAAAAATGTGGGAATTGAAAATTTAATATGGATCCAATATTGTGTTTGGATTTTTGTCTAATTTCCCTAAAGTTATCAGAAAACCTTTCCTATTTCAAGGTTCATTTTATATCCCAAACAATTCCGTATCTGTTTATTTAATGAATAGTTTTTTTCAATATTTTTGTTTTTGTATCAGAAACACGTTTTTTTAAATAAAAAAATTAAATACGTACAAGTTGTATCTCTAAAAATAGAAATTCTAATTAGTAAATATATTTTTGCATATTAAAATTTTTGGCAAAAAAATTGCATAAAAATTTTTTTGTATTATAAGTTTTAATTGAAATAGGTATATGTATTATTTTGGGAGATTATTATTAAGATTAGTCATTAAATTTAGAAGAAAATATGAGAGAGAGAATTCAAAAATTAAGAAAGGATGAAATGAAATAAAAAACAAGGACTTTCCTTGATTTCTCGGCAGAATGTGTGAATTGGGAATTTAATTCTATTTCAGAAAAAAATTTTTAATAAAAAAAGGAAGTAAAAATCTAAAATACATCAAAGAATTAGAAAAAAATAATTTCAATTAAAATTATTCTTAGACTTTATTTAGTTGATTTTATTTTAGGAAAGGATTTTCTAGGGATTTTTAAAGGGCATCTGTCTCAAAGATTGCAAAGAAGGATTATAGGTATTAGTATTTTAATTTAGTAATTGGAGAGAAAATAAAAACAAATTCTAATTCTTTTTTTGAAACTCTCATATGTATGACTGACGCCTTTCAAGACATTAATTCTACCGAAATAATTAATTTAATACTTTAATGATCATTTGTTTAACCCTAAATAGGTACTTTAATTAAAATAATTACCATAATCCAAGCACAAAGCAAAGAGCAAATCCTTCCCGTCATTAGACTTTTCAGCATTTTCATTCCCATTACTAATTCCCAAATTCACAACTGTCCCATTCAATGACCGACTTTTAAGCGTGCATTGTCCACCAACACGTTGCCATTCAAAGGCCATACAGCAAACATCGGCTTTAAAAAAGAAAAGATTTTTTTGAAATTTTTATAAAAAAATTCTCTACTTTTGCATACATCCGCACATTGTCTACGTGACAATCCAAAATCTCTACGATAATCAGCTCCAAGAATTGTAAGGCCAGGAGCGAATGAATAACACTTTCCTAAAATAAATAAATGTTTTTTAAATTATTCTCTCCCAAAATTTTACCATTGCTTTGTGCCTCAATCTGAACAGGCAAAAATAAAACAAACAAAACAATAAACAACAAAAATGAAGAAAACATTTGTTGATTTAGGGAAAACAATGTTTTATTTGAATAAAAAGATGTTGGAAAACAAGGCGAAGAAATAGGCGTTGTTTTTAAAGTTTCAAGTTTTTCAACATTGAAAATGTTTGTTTTGTTCAAAACTTTTTTGTTTTGTTCGTCTTCTTTGTTGTTTTCTTTGTTATTTCGATGTTTTGTTGTTTCTACTTTTATCATTGTTTGTTGACCGTAAGTTGATGAACAAGTTGGAATTTGAAAGGGCATTTAATTAATTAGATAATTAATTATTTTTTATTAATTATTATTATTGTTTAGAAGTAACAATTAATTATTTTTCTAAATAAAAAAAATAATAAAATAATTTATTTAAAATTATTATAGATCAGAAAAATTTTAAAAATTAAAAAATATAAGCTTCTAATAATTAACAGATTTAGGTATATATGTATAATATTAAAGTTTTTGGTAGCACTAAGAAGGAGGAAGTCGAGACAGGAAAGGGAGGAGGAAGGAGGAAATAAAAATTTAAAAATGTTAAATAAAAATATATTTATTTTACTTTTAAGCTAAATTAAATACAAAAATAGCTATCTACATATGTACCTATATTTAATAACCTCAAAATAATTTATTTATTCTCGTATTTTGTCGGTGTAAATTACCCTTTTCTGCTTTCCTTTTCAGAAAAAATAAAATTAAATAAATAATTTATTTTAATAAAAAAGTTCAAAAGTTTAAAGTATTTAAGTAATTAATTTAAATATTCTTATGTCAATGTATTTATTTTTATTTAATTAATAAGGAAATATATGAGGGGTGAATAAAATGTTAAAAAAATATTTATTTTTTATTGAAAATTGGGAAAATTAAAGATTTTTTTAAATTTTATTTTTTAGTCTTTTTTCAATTTATTAGTTAAAAATATTCTAAAAATTTTATAAAAAAATCACAAAAAATATTTTATTATTTAAGAAATTAAAATTATTATCCAAAAAAATTTTTAGATTATTTTTTAATTATTTAAAAAATCAAAAAAAAATTCCTAAAAATTATTTAATAAATTAAATGGCAAAAAATGTACTTCTACTACTAAATCCCTCTCATAATTTAATTAATTTAAAAGGTCTATTTATTTATTTTTTTTATTTAGACTTTTAATATCGCTTATTAGAATTTTTTTAATTAAAAAAATAACATTTTTTTAAATTCTCTTTCCTTTAAATGGAAACACTTAGTTTTTCTAAAATATTTTTTTCTAATTTTGGGTTGTTTTGTAGAAAAATATTTTTGAACTTTTAAGACTTTAAAAGCTTTTATTTTTTATTTTAATTGAGGGGGGATTAAATAAAAGTTGAGGGAGGATTTTTAGGAAGTACTTTAAAATTTATTTATTTAATGATGCGAGATAAATAAATAATTAAATAGTGATATGTATATAAAAATTGTTGCTTCAAAATATACATATTTTTTGGATTTAATGGATTTCGCCTGAAGAATTTAAGTAAAGAAATTAATTTATTAATAATAAAGTCGAAAAAACCCTTGTAATTTTTAATTGTTTCTCTAGTAGATATTAAAGAGATATTCGGCAGGGACAGGCTCTTCCTCTCCCGCAGAATTCCCTTCCGTCTTTTTATTTTTTTTTCGCTTTCTCCGCCTTCCGTTTTTTAATATTCGGCAGGGCCCATCCTTGATATACGGCATTAGATGTATTATCCCAAAAATACTTTAATACCTAGCATGTCCCAGTACTTATGCCATATAATTTTCATTACTTTTAAAATATTTAAGGCTTTAAAAATAATATAAATATATTTTTGTAAGCTGAAGAAAATGAAAAATTAATTGTGGAAGAGGAAATACTAAAAAAATTAAATTTATTTATATTTACATATAAAAAAACAAGGAAGAAATTTTACAAATCCAGAAGCTGAAAATATTTTTGTATTTCCGTCAGAGCTAAATCTGAAAGAAATATGTCAGCGTCAACAAAAATTTAAACCAAAAAAGGATCCTCTCAAAAACTTTTTATATCTAAAATTTTTTCTTTTGACGACAAAGCCTTTCAAATAAATTAGTTAAATAAAATAATTTTAAAAATTTGTTTATAAACATATTAGAGATGTCAGTGCATTTTTAAAAAATATTTATTACAAAGATCTGCTTATTTAGGGGTACTTAAATATATACAAAAATAAAAAATTCAAAAAAAAATTTTGCCATTTGCCTAATTGTTTTTTCCGTTAAATATTTGATGTACATAAAGTAAACATTTATTTTATTTTTAGAGAAAAAATAATTATTAGTAAAGATGATTATCTTCCTGAATATTTAAATAACTAATGTATGTACTAGACATACTCTAAAAATAGAGAAAAGATTTTTTAAAATTAAATTAATTTTTTAATTAAAATCAGAATTTTTAATTTAAAAAAGAGAAATTTAAAAAAATATTAACAAATCAGAATTTATAAAAAATAAAATCAGAAAATAATTAAATTGTGTATATACATTTTTTATTAAGTACTTATTAGGGATGTGGCGTTTAGGTACTTATCAGAAGTGTACTTATCAAATTTCGCCTTTCGCCGAATTTTTTTTATTTTTGGTATTCTTTCGCTAAGATCAGTTTCGGCAAAGCCCTAGCACTTAAGCACGAATGTATATTTATTACAAATAAATATACAAATTAAGCCTTTATATATACACAATTTTTTAGTTTCCACAAAAAGGTTACTACTATAAAAATTAACAAATAATAATTAACAACTTGTTTTTTTTTTAATAAATAAGACAGAGGATATTTTTAAAAAAAAGGCGTGGTGACATTAAAAGAGGAAGAAATAAATAAAAATACAAAATGTTAAAGATTTTAGGCTCCGCCCCTTTTTTGGATTATTTAAATCTTATAAGCTTTAAAAGGAGGGAAAGGGTCAATAAAGTATTTTAATTGGCTATTAGAGTATTTGGAAATTTAATTTGGATTATTTTTTGGATATTAAACTGAGTCAGAGGTTCTCTCAAAATATAATGGAGAGGAATTTTGAATTTAAAATATGGGCGTGTTTATAAAGAAAAATAATTTTTTAATTTTAAATTAATTAACAAAGAAAAATCAGAAAGGCAATTCCCTAAATATTTTTTAAAATTTAAACAAAAAATGATATAAAATCAAAAATAAATATTAAAAAATTGCAACCAAAAATAATACTTAAAAATAAAACTAAAAGAAAACAAATAATGTAAATTAAATCTTTTTTTAAGAAATTTAAAAAATAAATAAATAATTATTAAATAATAATAATAATATTTTTATTTATATGTCAAATAACGTAATTAAATATTTTTTTATTACAATATATACTATATATACATATTTTATTATAATAATAAACGTTATTTAACATTTCCTTTAAAAAATAACAAAAAACTTGACCATTATTTAAATATAATTTCTTTTTATTTTTGCGCATTTCTTTCTAAAAATGGGTATATTAATATATTTAAATAAAATATATATTATTTTTTAAATAAAGTGTTCATTTGGCACGAAATGTTTATTATGTGCTTTGCTTTATTTTGTGAAAAACAAGGAATTAAAAATTAAAAATAAATATTCTTTTAAATGTTGAGGGAATACTTTTTGTTTTTAAAAAAAGCTTTTGAACTTTGGGAATATTTTTTTTATTTGCGCAATTGGGAACTCTATTGTTTTTATTTTCTTTAATTTTAAAAATATTTATTTTTGTTGCGTATATTTTTGGGAAAATTTTTAAAGAAAAATAAAAATAAATATGACGAATTTAAACTTTAAATAAATTTATAAATAATTAAATATATTTATTATTTGTGTAAAATCTAAAAATGGGTTTTTAGGGGTACGAAGAGGAGTATGAAAGAATTTATGACCTCACTTTGTTTACACCTCCACTCTAAGGATATCTCAAAATAATCTTCAGGTACTCTTTAACAATCAGTGTCGGAGATTCAAAGAAAAAAGAAATGCCAAATCCTACTAGCATTAAGCCTCTAATTTTTCGTCAATCTCCCCTGCTTTTATTAAAAAGCGGGGGAAATTTACTAAAACAAAACATAAAGATTCAGGTTAATCTGTGATAGATTTTTTTAACTTTTTATTTTTTTAATTATAGTAAAATTCTGAATAATGACCTTCAGTAAAGCTGTCTAAAATATATTTTAAAATATGAGAGGTGAGAGATTGGAAATGGAATCTTGCACAGTTTTAGCTTGTAATATAACTACACGAAACTTTTTTATTTCATTAAAATAAAAATCTTTTTAAAATTTTTTTAGTTATTTTAATCTGTCTGAAATTAGAAAAAAATTTTAATAAATAAAATTAACACGCAATCTTGTCAAACTCTAAATTTAGTCAAAATAATTTCTTCCGATAATTTTTACAAATTTGGAATAAACTTTTCTAAAAATAAATTTTTAATAAAAAATAAGGAAGTATATTTTTTGATTAAATAAAATATTTTTTTATTTGTTGATAATTCTTTTAGGAAATACCAAAATAAATATAATTTTTGATTATTCAAAAATTATATTTTATTGGGCTTAAAAGTCTTTTAAATAAGAATAATTAACTTGAAATCCATTAATACAGCTAATAGATTAGTTTACCACCAGTACTACATACGTACAAAAATAATTGCATCCCTAAACTTACTTATATTTCATCGAAATTTATTCCGATCCAATAAAAACCATGGAAATAAATAAAATTTGATATTTCTTACCATTATTTATTAAAATTATTTTTATTTAAATGGATAGTTATGCCTCAAAATTCGAATTTTGCGTTTTAGGAAACTGGATTATTTTATAGAACTGTAAATGATAAATTCTACAAAAATTCCTATGAACTACCAATATAAAATAATAAACAAAACAATTAATCACTAAACCCCTCTTATCACCAAAATTTTAAAATTCAAAATCAAACAATAAAGCTCTGTCAAATTCCTGTGCTTATTTTAGAGAAAAGAGTGTATTCTGTCGGATATAAAATTATTAATAAAAATTTAAATAAATTTCTATAGCCTTTTAAATAATTGGGTTTTAAAAATTATTATTTTTCTTCAATTCCCCCCACCCACAAATAATTCAATCACCACGTCATTTTTTATACTCCTCCAACCCCCATCCTCCACTTTTTTTAAATTCAATTTATTCGCTACATTGCCTTCCCTTTTAACTAAAAAATGGCAGTACTTTAATAGAGGTCATTGAATTAAAAT